TACAAAAATTTAATTTTTGTAGCAGGGAAAAACGAAATTAAATTTTTGCGATAACCCTGATTTTTTTAAAAATGTTTTTATTACCAAAATAGAATAAAAATAAAATGTAATTTTCTGATAGAGCGAACAAGATCTCCCACGTGGATAATCTAACAATAGAAATAATGTGGGTTTTGATCGAAAGAATCTTCAATGGATTGCTCTCTCTATCTCTCTTAGGAAAAACTTGTTTGATAAACAAGCCTTTAAAAAAGATTTGTTTCTCCACGCAGTTTTCACATCAACAATATTAGAAAATTCACTATTTTTCTAAAGCATCTTTTTCTCGAAATTGAATTAAGAAGACTTGGTCAGTATGTGCTTGAAAGCTTTTTCAAAAAGCTTCTGTGTGGTACTTTAGGAGAAAATTATTTTCCCATCGTGTTAAGAAAACACTCACGTCACCACTAAAATTTATCTTTGGGCGTGTCTCGCCTTTGAGCATCAAGATTTTTTCTTTTCTCTCAATATTTTCCAACAAAACATCACACGGAAAAATTAATTCCTTCAAGTGATATTAAAAATTTCATTTTTAAAAATCAAGAATAATAGAGAATAATTTGTTTTCTCTTCCTCTCGGAAATGCTTTTTTTATTACATTTCGATTGTGTTACATGTAATGGAGAATTTAATACTAGATATTAAAATTATTTCTCGCAAATATCCACAGTGACATTTACCAATTACTGTCAATTAACAATTTATCATCTAAAGAGATAAATGATGGAATTTATCACCGAGTCCGGAGCTGGGGATTAATTCTTTAATTAAGTTAATAATTTAATTATTCTCTCGGGACAGGATTTGTATGTAAATGTGTTTATATGGAAGGTTCACAGTGAAAGTTGTAATATTTCTTGGAATGTGTGAGTAATAAAGGTGGTCTCTGTGTTCCGGGGTAGCAGTGCAGTTTGGAGAGCACTGAGATGAAACTTGGTTTATCCCAACTTGGTAACACTTCAGTACCTATGGCATTAAGGCGGATTTCTAAGTGGATAACTTCGCGTATTAGCCTTGTACGGTGGTAACAGTGGCCGCCTCTTGTCTCACTTGCGACCTGCTTTCTGCGGTCTTCTATATTCATTGGAGAAATATTGCGAGAATGACAATGAGACCAAAAACCCCTTTAGCCACATTAATTAAGTCTTCTCGATTATTTCACAGTGCAAGTTTCTCCGAATAATACAAAATTTGTTGAGTGTAAATTTAGACTTTAAATCATCAACTCAACCACTGATTCAAATTTTTCGATTACTTTTTAATTTTTTCTCGACAATCTTTTATTTAGTCACTATCAGAGATCGAATGTAAAAGATAAACACTTTTCTAAAAATATTTCGATCGATATCAAATTTATTGAATAGGATAATATTAGTATAATTGACAGCATCTAATAGCATTGCGAAAAAAAATTTTTTTTAATTATAAATAGTTTTTGAGGAATTCAATTATTTTCACTATTTAATTATTTTCAATTAATTATTTAATTGAAAATTAAATTAATTATTTTCATTATTTTCATTATTTTTTTAAAAAAAATTCAATAAAATTCTTTGCAAGCAATTCAATTATTTAAGTAATTTTAAGAAAATTCTTCCCAAGAATTCAATTTTTTTCAAAAATAAAAATTTTCACAAGAATTCAATTATTTCAAAAGAAAAAAATTTAATAAAATTCTTCGTCAGATTTCAATTATTAAAAATTTTTTAATGAAATTTCTCGATAAAATTTGATTATTCTCAAAATGTTTTACAAAAATTCTAAGAAATTCATTTATTTAAAAAAATTTGAATAAAATTCTTCACAAGACATTAATTATTTTTATAAATAATAATATTTTACTCCGGAATGCAATTATTTTCAGAAAGAAAATTCTTCACAGGAATTCAATTCTTTAAAAAAAAAAAATTTTTAATTAAATTCGTTGCAAGAATTCAATTATTTTCAAAAATAACAAAACTTATCGTAGAATTTCAACTATTTCTTATGCAATTTTAAATAAAATGATAGAAAATTACATGTATTCTTAAATTTTTTTTTAAATACGCCGAAAAATTCAATTATTTAAAACAAGTTTTAATAAAATTCTTCCAAAAAATTAAATTCTTTTCAAAAATAAAATTTTTCAGAGAAATTCAATTATTTTTAAAAAGTTTTAAAAAATTCTGAGAAATTCAATTATTTAAGAAAATTTGAATAAAATTCTTCACAAGAAATTAATTATTTTCACAAATAATAATATATTTCTCCGAAGTTCAATGATTTTCGCAAATAAAATTCTTCAAGGAAATTCAATTATTCTTTAAAAAATTTTTTAATAAAATTCGTTGCAAGAATTTATTTATTTTCATAATTACAATTTTAAATAAAATGATAGAAAATTGCATTTATTCTTAAAATTTTTGATAAAATTCTTCATAAAAATTTAATTCTAATAAATATTCAATTATTAAATAAATTATTTATTTCTTTATTTAAATAATTGAAGTCTTGGAAAATTTTCTAATAAAAATTGATTTAAAAATGAATTTTAGTTAAAATTTTCGATATAATAATTGATTTGAAAATTTTCAAAGAACTTTTTATAAAATTGTTAAAAGTAATTGATTTAAATTCAATTATTTTTATAAATTTTAACTGAAATTATTCATTTTTAAATCAAATTTTATTAGAAAATTCTACGAGAAATCAATTATTTAAATACAAAAATAAATAATTTATTCAATAATTGAATGTTTCTTAGAATTTAATTTTTACAACGAATTTTATTAATAACTTTTGAAAATAATTAATTTCTTTTAAGGAATTTAATTAAAATTTTACTGAAATTTATCATAATAACGATTTTGAAAACTTTTTGAAAATAATTGAAAACTAATTGAAAACTAATTGAAGAATTGTATTAAAATTTTTTAAAATAATTGAAATCCTAAGAAGAATTTAAATAATAATTTATGAAAGTAATTGGATTCATGCGAAGAGTTTTTATTAAATTCAAAATAATTAAATTTTTATGACGAATTTTGATATTTATCGAAATAATTGAATTTTGGACAAGAATTTTATTAAAATTCCTTAAAATAATTGATTTTATGTGGAAAACTTTGTTGTTTATCAAAATAATTGAATTTTTTTAAAGAATTACTTAAAAATTTTTTGAAAATAATTAATTTCCTGTGACGAATGAAAAGTTAAGAATTATTGCAACGAATTTTATTATTTTATTGAATAATAGAATGTTTCTTAAATTTGAATTTATTTAAATCTTAAATTTATTTAAAATTGTATTAAAAACATAGGAAATTCTGCGATGAAAATAATTGAATTCCTAAATTAAATTTTATCATTTATGAAAATAATTGAATGTTTACGTAGAATTGTATCAAAATTTTTATTCAATAATTAAATTATTTGATAAATTTTATGAAAATTGTAAATATTCAAAATCATTGAATTGAGAAAAACTTTTGAAAATAATTGAAATTTTGCAAAGAATTTCATTTAAATTTTTGAAAATAATTGAATTTTTGGCGAAAAATTTTGCCATTTATAAAGATAATTGAATTCTTGACGAGATATTCGTACAAATTTTTAAAAATAATTGAATTTCTTCGAAGAATTTTATTACTTATGAAAATAATTGATTTTCTTTGAAGAATTTTATTACTTTTGAAAATAATTGAATTCTAATGATAAATATTGTTATTTGTGAAAATAGTCAAATTTTCTAAAGAATTTTTTTAAAATTCCTAAAAATAATTGAATTATTGTAAAGAATTTGGTTATTTATCAAGATAATTGCATTAAAACTTTTTAAATAATTAAATAATATTAAAAAATCTGGCAACCCTGAAAATTTTTTCCGAATTTTTTTCTTTCTTTTTTTCTTAAATAAATAACAACGATAAATTTCTTTGTGAAACATGTTTGTTAAAAATGAAAGACTACATTTTGACAAGAAGCTCACGGGATGGTACTTTCATCTCGGATCATTGCTTTTATCTCTCAGAAATGGTTTTCAGCTTTATTTCAAGCATGGGGGATGAAAAGAAGGATGAAAAATATTTGAGTTTGCCAGCAGGCGAAGCGAAGGTGCCTTTGATATTTAGAAATCTAAAGGATAACTTACAATGACGACAGGGAATTGTAGGGAACGGATTTTATAAGGATTTTATATTAAGTGTAGCGCATTGAATACGATCGAGAAGAAAGAAAAATAACAATGCTTGTATACCATTCAAAAATAATGCGCAAGTTGAAATAAATAATGTATTTCCATCGAGTGTGGAAAATTAATCATTAATTCAAAACGAAACAAATGCGAAAAAAATTTATTTAATTCAAATAACCGATTACTTGACTATTTAGCAAATATAATAATTAAACTTGAATCAAATAATTCTTGCTTTAAAATCAATTAAATTATATTTGAATCAAACACTGAAATTATTGGTTCAAGTACCTACAATTTAATTGACTTAAATATTAATTATTTGATTCTAGTAAATATTAATTTGATCATTTATTAATAATTTAATTTAATAATAATAATAATAGTTAATTAGTTAATAAGTCAATTTTGTTTTAATTTTGCATCTGTAATCATTCAAAAGTTGAAGTTGACATTTGAACACAACAAATTTTTAAATTTGCATAATAATAAAAAAGTGAATACCACGTTTCACGTGTAACATTTGCTAGTATAAAATAACAATAGATCATTTCAGTGTCACTAGGAACTTTCAGTGTCACTAGACCAATTAATTTTATTTTTTACTATCAAATTTTTTTTTCCACTAAATAAATGAAAATTTTAATTTTAGTGAAGTGTTTCATTTATTCTTCCGCATTTCTAAACAAAAATTGCTTTTTAATCATTTTTGTTTGAATTTGAATTAGATTTTCTTTTTAGTAAAAAAAAAAAAATGAATAATTAAAAAATGAAAATAAAATGTACTCACAATATCGAAATTCAAGTTGTCACGTATCCAATTACGACCCTCGTTGTACTCGTCATGAAGTCCCATGATGTAAAGTGTGTCCAAACCATCGACAATAGTGGCACCCATCATAGATGTTCCGAAAATACTTGCACTGTGTCCCTTCTTTGTGATAGGCCTGAGTTCGTTTTTGCCCCAGGCATACCTCACGTAGTTGTCCCAACCATACTTCATCATCTGCGAAAAAAGAAGAAGAAAAAAAAATGAGCAAAACATTAGTAGATCGAAACATTTTGCTACAAATAAACGTGTTTGACACCTGCGGAGCTTACATGCGGTCCAAACATAAATCTCCGCGCATGGGATTCAAACACAAAAGCATATATTTCAGATAGACAACGTAAAAACCCGCTGGACCAGTGCAGTAAGTAAATTATGCTAACTGGATGTACCATTTCTCCTGATAAAAAAAAATCCTTCATAACTCTTCTCGAGTCTAAACATTGTTTTTTGCCGGTGTATATTCTTAAAAGTAGATTTTTAATATTCGAATTATAATCGATTCAAAAATAATAAATTTGTAGTATTAAATAAATATTGTTGGGTTGCTAGAAGAAATATGATTATAATTAGCAGAGTTGCCACAAAAATTTAATTTCGTTTTTTCCTGACTTTTCCCTGATTTCCAGACTTTTTCCTGACTGATTTTGACTTTTTCCCTGACCCTGAAGAATATTCTGATTCACTCTAAAAATTATTAAATACTCAAAAAAATGTTGTATTACATTTATTTGCAAATTTCTTCAAAAGTAAAATTATTCGAAAACATCAATAACTTCTTTTCTAAATAAATATTTGATTATTATTTTTCCATAGGAATTAAAATTCTTCAAAACATTCAAATTCAAACCTTTTTGAAATTCGATTGAAGGACAGAAAATCCAGACCGAAAAATCCAAGAAAAAAAGTTTGAAGTACAAAAAATTCAAATTATAATGTCCAAAGTCAAAAAAATCCAAAATAAATAAAATCGTCCAAAATAAATAATGAAACATGTGAAAAAGCCATGTTTTTACAAAAAAATTCAATTATTTTCATAAATAAAAAAAATTCTCGAAAAATTTCAATTGTTCTATAAAATATTTTCAAACAATTATTCCAAGTTCAATTATTTTTTTCAACCTAATTCCAATTAAATTACCTTCTCGATTAATTTAATTATTTCCAGAAATTAAAAATGTTAAATTTATCTACTTTCGATTCACAGTCATCGAAATGGGCAATTCAAAAAAAGGACAATTTCATTCAAGGCAACCATAAATAATTTATTAAATAATTGAATCTTTATTAGAATTGAATTTTTATGAAGAATTTTATCAAAATTTAAAAAAATAATTGAATTCTTTAGGCGAATTTAAAAAAAAATCTTTAAAATAAATGCAATTTTCTATCATTTTATTTAAAATTGTATAAAAAATTAAAAAATAATTGAACTTCAGCGATAAGTTTTGTTATTTATGAAAATAATTGAATAGTTGGTGAAAATTTCATTAAAATATTCAAAAATACTTGAATTCCTGAGAAGAATTTTGTTATTTATGAAAATATATGAATAGTTGGTGAGAATTTCATTAAAATATTCTAAAATATTTGAATTTCTGAGAAGAATTTTGTTATTTATGAAAATAATTGAATTATTGTAACAAATTTTATAAAAATGTTTAAAATGAATTGAATTTCTGTGAAAAATTTTGTTGTTTTTGAAAATAATTGAACTTTTTGCTTAATTAATTTAAAATAGTATTGAAAATAATTGAAATTCAGCAATAAGTTTTGTTATTTATGAAAATTATTTAATTTTTGCAACGAATTTTATTAAAATTTTATTTAAACAATTGAGTTCCTGTGAAAAATAATATTTTTGAGAATAATTGAATTCCGGAGAAAAATATTATTATTTATGAAAATAATTAATTTCTTGTGAAGAATTTAATTCACATTTTTTTAAATAATTGAATTTCTCAGAATTTTTCAAAACTTTTTGAAAATAATTCAATTCTATCGAAAAATTTCCTTAAAAAAAATTGAAAATAATTGAAATTTGCCGAAGAATTTTATTAAATTTTTTTTATTTAATTGAATTTCTGTAAAAATTTTATTTTTGAAGAGAATTGAATTCTTGGGAAGAATTTTGTTAAAATTTCCAAAATAATTGAACTGCTTGTAAAGAATTTTATTTTTTACGAAAATAATTGAATTGTTTCGAAGATTTTTACAAACATTTTCGTCCTTTCAATATTTGAATATCTTGAAAGCATTATAGCGTAGATTTTTTAGAAATAATTGAATTTTCAAAAGGTTTTAAATTAAAATTTTTGAAAATTTGAACTTTTCATTTGTTTTAATTAAGAATTTTGCAGAATTAATTTTTTTCAAAAAGTTCAATGGATTTTTTTTTAATTATTTCAAGTTTCTAATTACTAATATATTTAATTGAGGAATGTCAGAATAATCGAAATTTCGTAAAATTAAATTGTAAAACAAAGGATTTGAAAATTCTCAAAGATCTTTTTCGGAAATTATTTTTAAAAAATTGACTTAAAGAAGAATTTTAGTAGAAAATTCTAGAAGTGAATAATCGAAATAATGAAAATAATTTTTAAAGGAGTTACAGTTAAAAATTAGCAAGTTTTAATTATTATATATAAAACATGAAGAAAGCGATGACTCCGAGTCGAAAACTTCATGTTTTATAATAATGTTCTCATATGTTATATGTTATTGAATTTAAAATTTTTAAAAATCTTAATTTCTATGAAAAAATAATAATGATTAAATATTTATTTAAAAATAAAGTTCTTTAGAGCCAGGGGAAAAGTGAAAGTTTTTGTCTGGAAATCATCGAATTATTTAATTTGGTAAAATATAAATGTATTTTTAAAACCTGGAAAAATGTCGTTTTTTAACCTGGAAAACCTGGAAAAGTCAGGAAAGTTACAAATATTTTAAATCCACGAAAAATTTAATGCAAATGGTAAAATTTGTTTGTAAGTAATTAAATAAAAAATTAGACATATATTCAAGAAGCAAGCATATCTTTATTGATAATGAAAGATTGAAATCACTGCGATGTAATATTTCCGTTTTTTGTTTTTCATGACAGAAAGTTAGTTCACATCTCACGTGGAAGGGCAATTATCGTAAAACCTTCGTAGAACGAAGGACGATTATATCCGATCCGGGAGGATCATACTTCACGAGCGACATTGTACAACATCCGACATGAAATTAAATGAAATTGTAGTTTATGTGGCTTAGAGACTTCATCTGATGTGAAAAAGCAAAAAGCTCGACCCCCGGCTAACAACTGGCTGGCATTGTGTAGTTTATATGGCAAAAGAGGAAAAGAAATGCGCGCGACGATTTCGATGTCGTTTTCCTTCTTTATTCTTTTTCATCATTTCTGTTGCAATTTTTTTTTTTTTTTTTTTTTTTTTTTTTATTTTCATTGCTGTGCCGTGTGTGTCAAAGACACATACGTGTGCAAACTCTTGGTGCTTCTTGGCTTGTTGGAAAGTGCCTGGTAAGAAAATGACGCGAGACATACCATGGTGAATCTTCAGTTGAGGTAAGAGACGATGCTTGTACATAACTGCCTCGATTTTTGCCACATTCCGACCCCTACTTGGGAAAACTCGTTGCATTGGAGCCACCAAGCTACCAAGTCTTTCCTTTCATTACTCTCAAAACCTGTCGAGAGGCAAAAAGTAAGCAAAAAGTCAACAAAAAGTCAACAAAAACCAAGCAAAACGTAACAGGTGCAAAACGATTTTTTTTTCTCTATTTCTAGACTTTAAGTAGTTCTCTCACATTCCGATTAGGCCAACTTGATTGGCCTGTGATCCCTATGGACATAAAGTGTCTAATCAGGGTTGCCACAAACAAGGGAAATTAGGGAATTTAGGAAAAAGTCTGGAAATTAGAATTGGTCAAGGAAAAGTCAGGGATTTTTATTAAAATTACTGGAAAAAATTTAATTATTAGAATTTATAAGAAAATTCTAAATTTTGGTGTCTTTTGTTTGCCTCATAAACAATGAAATTGACAAGAATTCAAATACAAATCTTTCAATTATTTCTGATTGAATTTTGGAGAAAAATTTTATTATTTATAAAAATAATTGAAATTTTGACAAGAATTTTTGTAAAGTTTTGAAATATAATTGAATTTCAGCGAAGAATTATATTACTTTTGAAAATAATTGAATTTTTAAGACGAACTTTATTAAGATTTCTTTTTAAATAATTCAATTCTTTTGTGAAATTTTGTATTAAAAATAATTGAAATTTTGAAAAGAATTTTATTAAAATTTTTGAAAATAATTGAATTTTGGAGGAAAATTTTAATTATTTATAAAGATAATTGAAATTTTGACAAGAATTTTTGTAAATTTTTTAAACATAATTGAATTTCTGCGAAGAATTATATTACTCTTGAAAATAATTGAATTCTTGAGACGAACTTTATTAAAATTTCTTTTTAAATAATTGAATTCTTTTGTGAAATTTCATTGAAATAATAGACATTAAAAATAATTGAATTTTGACAAAATTTAATAAAATTTTTGAAAATACTTTAATTCTTCGAAAAAATTTAATTTAAAATGTGTTGAAAATATAGGCAAAGGTTTTTAAAATAATTCAATTTATTTGATAAATTTTAATACAATTTTTAAGATTAATTTCATTTTTCGAGGGATTTAATGAAAATTGTATTAAAAAAATAATTGAAAATCTGCGATGAGTTTCATTTTTTATGAAAATAATTGGATTTCTGTAAAAAATGTTTTTATTTATGAAAATAATTTTTATTGAATTCCTGGGAAATTTTTTATTATTTATGAAAATAATGAAATGTTTGCGTAGAATTTTATTAAAATATTTTTTTAATTAATTGAATTGAATCGCGAAATTCGAAAAAACTCGGTTTTTTTGAAATTTTACAGGAGACACAAAAAATTGTTTATTTCCAACAGTTTTGATTTAAAAGAGTCCAGATTTTTTTTTCGAATTCTTTTGGGAATTTTTATTAAATTAGTTGATATTAAAAATCATTGAATTGAGGAAAGTTTTTAAAAATAATTAAAATTTTACCCAGAATTTTACTACTTTTGAAAATAATTTTATTTTTGAGAAGAATTTTACTACTTTTGAAAGTAAATGGATTTTTGAAAAGAA